ACATAAAGGTCCTACGTACATATATATATGTATATATGTGTATGTATGTATGTATGTATGTATGTATGTATGTATGTATGTGTGTGTGTGTATATATATATGTATTTATATATATATATATACATGGTCCCCCCCCCTCCCCCCCCCACGTTATCCACCAGTTTGGGTGTAAATCCTGTCTATTATGCCCATGACCCAAGTACATGTGCAGTAATACAAATATTACATACGATAGTTGATAGTCGATGGTCTTTGAATTCTCTTCGCACAATCCGTGAACCCGATTGAGTTCAATAGGCCCTATTGAGTTCAATAGGCTAGGTAAGTTTTAAAGCTACTTGTCCAATCAATGCCAAATGCAAGAGCTGTATGTGCTGTCGGTTCAGCCGTTTCCTTCTGAAAATTGGTGCTATCGAACCGCTATATTACCCGTCGTAAACTCGGACAACAGACAAGGGCGATTTGATAATGCGGAATTCTCCGAAACGTGTCGTTTCAGAAAATGTGCTGCTATCGGAACTGCTGCGGCTTCCAGACTGTAAGACAGACCAGATTTTCCGAAGGGTGAAATCAGCGAAAAGCGGTTCGATAGCACCACATTTCATATAGGGTATATATAAGCTATATATGGGGTATCACATACGTGGGGTATTCAAGAAGGTAGGTAGGTAAGTAGGTAGGCACAGGCAGGTAGGTAGGTAGGTAGGTAGGTAGGTAGGTAGGTAAGTTCGGTAGGTCGATCGGTAGGTAGGTAGATAGGCAGGTAGGTGACCTTTAAATGAACGGAGAAACCAGAGTGGATGAGAAGGAGCGTAGAGGAGGCGCACGTGCGCCGTCCGGAGAGAATTGCGAGTCCACGAGCGAGAAAGTTAGATAATTTCTTTAAAACAAAGCGGAAATCCAGGAGGCCATAAATTCCAGGCAGTGCAGAGGCGAGGGCCACTCTTTTGGAAACCGGAGCGGCGCAAGGAAGTCCAGACTTCTCGGTTTGTGCGTGTGTTACCCCGACCCCTCCTCTCTCGGGGCGAGGAGGGAGGAGGTCTGGGACGACACGAGGAGCCCTGCTTGGTGACGATGTGGAGAGAAGCGGACCTACGGCCTTACGAGGGTCATTTACACAGACCCCCGAGAGTAAGGTATGGTAAAAAAAACGTATTATGTAGCCTATGTTTAGAAAGGTATTCTGTAGGTGTCCCATACGAAATTCTTCAAAATACGTAGAGGGGGGTATTCTACAAGGAAGTTGTAAGGCTATCTGTGTTGGTTCCTGATTTCCTTCATACGAACCCCTTACCCATAAGCTACAGGTCAACTGGGGACTTCTCAGATCTTGAGCTCCGACTGGTTGTCCATATTTACAATCCCTATCTATAGGGTACATAAGGTAAACTGTAGGTATTCTGTAGGTATTCTATATAGCATACGTAAGGTATACAAGGGTTATCATATACGGACGGTCGTCTACAAGGTATTCCAGATGGCATTCTGCACCAGTATAAAGTTTTTTTTACAAGGTAGTCTAAACGGTATTCCCTGGGGGTTTTTCCACATGGTATTGCAGAAAGTATTCTAAACGGTATGTATAGGAGGTATTTTACAAGGTATTCTGTTCTCTGTATGTATCCCTACTAAATAAGCTTCGATTCGTTCAAGGAGTTCCTAGATCCCAGATGCCGCACCGCTGCATCGTCAAACGGGCCATTCGGTCCAACAGCCCTTTTCTGCCCTGACAACGGGTGGATAACCCGGGGGTGTAGCATATAAATATATATATATATATCAATACACATGCATATGCGTGGCTCGAGGCTTGTTGAACTGCACCTGTTTGCTGGCATGTCTCTGACAGTTCTGCAAACGCGGTCCTAACGCATCATACCTGCTGGCTGCAACCGCGCACGAAATGCAGAGGAAAACCGAAAATTGTTGTGCTGAAAAGAGAAGGCTTCGACGTTCTTGGTAAATTGAGTCCTGTACACCTTTTGACTTGCGATGCCCGCACGGGTGCAAAAGGCCATGCCCATCCACCTCAAAGAAGTTGCCTCCAAAGCCTCATGCCCCCCCAACCGTTAGTTCGCTCTGTAACCCCATCTCTCTTGCACTGAATCATAGTTCGATCCAAGGCACGCAAGGCCTCTGCCTCCTGCTGCCTCGGCAACCATTTATGCCGGGCTGATGTTGGGACTGACAAACGTGCCAATTACTGACAGTAGTAATTAGCAGCTAGGAGGTGTGGTTGCTTCCTGGGCATCTAAAATATGGAAAACATGCAGATACACTCCCTATTTGTTGCCTCCTGCATGGCTGAACATGTCGCGAAGCGGGGTTATGGTCCCCGTTCCGGTAAGACGCCCATGCTGAATCATGGCTGGTCTACTGGCACAATTCACGATTCACAGTTCAAGGTCAAGTCAGCGAATGTCTTTCTGAAGACACACTCAGAGCCTTTGGCAAAATGCCAGTTCAAGACAGTACATCCCCTCACTCAGCAATTACAATTTCAGGCACAAAGCCACGTTAGGCAAACATGCATATGGATATCTTGCAAGTATGCAATGTCATACTCACTCCGCAGTTTGTCAGTATTGGCCGCAGTCACTGCCAGTCACGTTCAGCCAAAAGCAGTTTGCAACATGATGCATACCAGGTAGTCTGACGACCACCTGGTGTCCATCACACATTTGTCCAGCAGGGCGAACATGTGTCAGTGTACAGATGTATGGTTTGCGCATGTCCATAAACAGAAGATGATCTGAGAGAGGGAAACAGGGAGTCCGCGTCTAGAATCACCGCCACATCCCTGACGGCCGTTTTCCAATATTTCGAGAGGTCTTTCGTGTAAGCCCTCAATCCGTTGCACACCGCCTTCGCTGCAAAGCGAGCTCCGCCTGCTCCTGCTGGGCACGTACCTGTCAGAACCCCCAACAGGCCGCCACGGTCTTGATGGCTTTCCAGGAAGATGGACAAGTGCAACCAGTTCGGAGATCAGATGATGTCGTTGGGCTTGCAACTAAGGCTAACTTTCCGGTCCATCCACTCACAAACTCAACCTGTGGTTTTCGAAAACCCTGCTTGTGCCTGATCTCGGTGTTGCTGCCGGAAATGCTCCTGTTAAGGCACGAGCTGCGCAGCACGCAGCATCTTCTGCTAGTGTCCTCCTCTTGGAGTCGGTGAGTCTTCTGCAGGTTCAGCCTGGGCTCGACACTGCGACTGTGTCAGCGTCGGGACCGTCTTCAACATTCGTGTTCTTGCAGTACCACGCATGCCCAAATCCGGTAGATAGCTCCACGCATAATATGGCATGGGAACCAGTAACAAGGCTGATCTGTAGAACACTTCTCGGCAAGGCTGAGCCATCAAGACGTAGCGATGTCGAGGAGCCAAGAAATGGAGGCTGTGGAATCGCCTCGTAGCTCCAGTTCCTGGGCATTCAACGCACTTCCCACGACCAAACGAAAAGCCAAGGAGTTAAGTAAATGGTCCGGCTTCGTGAAAGAAGCAACTGCTTTCAGTCTGCCATGCAAGCAACGACATGCACGACAAAAAACAACTAATGTTCGGTCAGCCGACATCGCAGGACAGAAGTGTGACAAGACAATTGGTTTTCATGTGTGGATGCAGTATACCAGCTCGAAGGCGTAGTGCAGCAAGCACCAGAGCTTGCCGATATCCCGTGCCGAGCCACAAGCTGCTGTTGTCGCGCAAGCTCCTGACCAGAGCACGTCGTTCGCTGCACACGACACTCGTGACATGTACATGCGGCATATGCGCGTACGTCCGTCTATCGGAAATCCGCTCAACCCGCGTGCCCAGCGAAAGTGCAGAGGCAAGTGCCGAAAGTGTGCGCACAAAGATATTATCGAATCTCGAAGTGTCTTCCAGCCAGACAATCTACCGTCCGTCCCTGGCCACGAGGTACCATCACTTTTACCCGAACTTTTTTGCATTGTTGGCCGGCAGTCCCAGCTGCCCGCGCTCGCGCTGACAAGCCATCCACCAATTTGTGTCAAACGTTGTACTAGGCTAACAGGCATCTTTGTGTGGTGGCCGTCCCTACCTTCATGGGCTCGCGTGAGTCACGGCCAGTCGGGGACTTCTTCTTTCATGTCACCGTCATTGCGGTAGTCCCCATCGTGCACATTCCTCCCGTAGGGCCGTATGGGGCCTGTCACAGCCCAACTCCAGGGACTCTTCCCCGTCGCTTCCACAAGACTCCCTGCTCCGGGGACTCCCGTGAGAGAACTGCCGTTTTTCGAGCAAGTCCACTGCGCCTTTACACTCCTACGAGTTCATCCTCTCATAAATTTTCCGTCGTTTGATTGTAATTCTTCCACCTTGTGCTTTCCGGGTGCACTCCTCTCGACATCTCTGACTCCATATCCCGTGCCAGCATCATCACTAGCAGCTTCTCGGTTCACGTAATGTTGAGGAGAATCTGAAACCGGATCGCTGCCTGCTGCAACTGCTGCTCATAGCGCTCGTCCACACTCGACCGCTGAGAATGCTCACCAATGGGTGCTTCCGTGACCTTGACAACCTGACGGTGCTTTGACTGAGCAAAAGTAGCTCGCGGGCAAACGAGCCGGCACAGCACCTGGTCTGAAAGCAGACTGGCACTACGCCTACGCTCATGCAGGTGCCTGTGAAGATGGCGGTGAGGGATGCGGCTGTCGCGAAGCTTGCGATGACACCTGTATGTGGGGAATTTGGATCACAGCGCCAACTGTCGTATTGTTGCTTTTTAAAGTGGGGTGGTGCTTTTGCGTTCTTGCCACTGTTCTCCGAGAGCTTCGCCGTCCAAGCGTCTGCTTTTGTCGCAGCGTGTTCCCTCTCCTTGGCCAATTGGGAATCGGAGTGCAGCGTCGTCCACTTTGCTATTGGGTTTTACAGGGGGTCCGGAAGTGAACCAAAACTCCAAATAACCCTCCCGAAATGCAATTAGGGCGAGCATCTAGCTTCTGGCAGCGGTAGTGGTACTCCTGCAGCTCTTGCCTTGCAGAACGGAAAATGCAACTATGCAACAAAGTGCTTGCGTAAATCATCAAGAAACTACACGTACACAACAAAGAATGTGCGCCCAGGGCTGCGTCTGGCGCATATTCTCCTGGATCAGCTCCTGCCTTGCCGTGTCACATGGCACTAATGCAAGCGCTGGCGGCGCTGGCGTGTCGAAAGATCAGAAAGATCAGAAAGAACGCCGAACCACATCTAATTACTATCTACGACCATACACCAGAGTACTGCAACGGATGACGTGATGCACTCCTGATTTAGGCCCCACCCACCTCTTCTGTTCCATTCGCTGCGCTTCCAGCCTGCGTCTCACAATACACTATCCACTCATCGACCGCAGCACATATGAAACCATGGCCAAAAGCAGGTTCTTGGCTGGGGTTGACGCGAAGCAATGTCGCGATGACGATCCTTCAGGCCCTGCACAAAGGGTGTCAAGCTCTTTGGCAACATGTGGTTCTTTTGAAGCCTGCGGCTGGGCCTAGGGGCCTAGCATGCAACATCTGAGAATCTGGTGTTTTTTCTCGCGTTTGCACAGTGCGCAGAGGCGCGTCACGGCACGGAACATTCAGACTGCTGGGACAGCCGCGGCATGCCGCGGCAACACCAGAAATGGTGGCCTCTGCAGGCGCCGAACGTTAGTTGACTCTGAAATGCCCCGCTGCCCGCTTCCTGTCAGGGGCAAGGCTTCTTGGAACGAATTCAAAGGCGCAGGCGCCGTACGCCATCGGAGACTCGCTGACTCCTCAGGAAGGGCGGACAGCAGGTGCCGCCTGGGTAGAGCCCGCCGCATCGCCCTCCACGCCTGCTTCCTGGATCAGCTCAGAGATGGACTTCTCTAAGTCATCGATGCGGGCGCCCATGTCATCAATGCGGTTGATGATGGAGTCGGACATGGTCTGAAAGCGCCCCTGCATTTCCTTCAGAAGGTTCTGGACGAAGAGAGTCAAGTCCTGATTCTGGTCATCCTGTCCCTCCATGGCGCCCTTCAAGAAGCAACTATCTCGCCAACTTTGAGCACGCTTTGCTGCGGCACTCTGCAGTTCATCAAAACAACGAGCATCCCTAGATTCCCAAAGTCCAACTCCCACGTCAGTCCGCTTCCAGCCTGTGACAGGGCTCGCGGTCGAGAACCGTCCTCGGAGCTGTCGAATACAGAATCTGGATAGGACATTTTCTTGATGTAGTTTCATGAGAGGAAACAATCTGCCTTCTTAGTGTCTCGCCTGGTTTCGCCTCGTTCTTTTGAGTTTTTCCGATATGTTGCGATGCCAGTTTACACATGCGTGAGGTTAGTGGCGCATTGACCCTGAAAGCTGCACATGTCCGCCTTAGTCCTTGGCAGGCAAATTCGGCAGCAGCGGCGTGACTGTTCTGACCGAAAGCTCCTGGCAAATGTTGCTGGCCTGCCACTGGCAGAGTGTTGGCAGGCTGCTGAAAAGCAGCCCCGGCGGCTTCGATCATACCGCTGCACCAAATTGCAAGCATGTCCTCCGGACTGGCCCCTCCACTGCCGGGGTAGCCACCTGGCCATGACATGCTGTTCTAATGAACCAGAAGCCGCGGAACTTCCGGGAAACCATGGCTTTGAAGAATCGGATGCATGAACCTCATCTATACCTGTGTACTTCCGCAGGCCAAGCAGGCCAGCATGACCAGATTCAACCGATGGCGCTTCAGTGGCCGGGGTGGATGCCTGCTCCATTCTGTTCTTCTAAACCAACCTAACCGAAGATTCGCACACCATGCTGTCGATAACCCTAGATGAAGTGCCAGAAGAATGATAATTATACCCTAAAACATCCAACGGTCTCAGCGAAGTCTGCACACACTCCACGGAGTCCTTCCCGGGCGTGCATGCTCGGCTTCGATACCTGCGTCTGGGCTGATCCAAGTCAACCTTTTTGCGCAAAAACACTCCTGGCACATGTTCTAACTCGCCCTCTTTTCCTGAAGATTCAGAAGCCTAACACTCACAAGTGAAAACTACACAGGCTGCAGCACAGCTTGAAAAGACGCGCCGGCACCCTTGGGAAGATCTGGTTCGTGCCCGAGGAAAGTTGTGTCGGGGTTGCCTTGCACAAAAATATGCCCGCAAACACTGGGTGCTCAATCAGTCGGCGCAAGGATGGCGAAAGGACACGCCCATTCTTACTAGGCTGGCTTGCGACGGTAGAGCCTCTTGGGTCCAGACATCTTGGTTTGAGGCGGGCCAGGGTCCCGAGGAGCAAGCTGCGAGGAAACTACACCTGCAACATGCGATGCCCTGCACATGTCAGGCCAGCCAACTACGGAAACTTCTTGAAAGACTCGCAAGCCCCCACATCATGCAAGAGCATAAGGTGGAGGACTTGTGATGCTGGGCTTTCGGGCTGAGCCCGCCTTTCTCCGCCCAGGCACTGAGATGTGCAATCCCCATGCCTCGGGACGGCTTCAGAGCAAACGGACCTGCTTCTTCACATGCATGGACTAGCAGACTAGCATGCACCAAGTGCACCGCTTGGCCAAGCCGACTCCACTCGGGGCGGGTCCATCGCACCTGGCATTGCTACCTCTGCGGCTTCCAGAGTGTTGCTGTTGTTAGTTTGTCCGGCGGCGGACCTCGACGAGGATCAGCTGGGCTGCAACCCCGCACCTGCGTTCTTCGCCCAAACACTCAACTGTCCAGCAGGATCCTTCAAGCAAGTGGAACACGACTTCATCAAAACAAGCACGGGGGGGCCGCACCAATCAAGCACAAGCAAAAATACAACATTCGACGATCCACAGGAACGCTGCTGCACCATTACGGGCTGCCTTCATCTTCATAGTGATTGTTAGCAAAGCTGCTTTCCAGAAACCACTGAATTCATGAGCATTGCATCAATCCTGACAGCAAACTCTCCAGCCCGCGGCAAGAGAGCAGAATAGAGCAGAACCATCGGCCCTGCCTTGCCATCTCGGGAGCTGTCACGGCTCCGCTCCGACCGGACACCCGCCTGGTCAAAAAGAAAATCGAAAACACAAGCGCAACAGAGCTCAAACAGAATGTGCATCATGCCTTGTGACGAACAATTCGCGCCAAAGTTCGTCCACCTGGGAAGAACATCATCGCCCAAAGAACGGCTGCATCTTCCGGGCGATGCGTCTGTATGTCAATGTATGCATTTTGGCTCCCACGTGGCACTGTCCATGTATGCATGTATGCATGTATGTATATCTATATCTATATCTATATCTATATCTATATCTATATCTATATCTATATCGATATCGATATCGATATCTATATCTATATCTATATCTATATCTATATCTTTATCTATATCTTTATCTATATCTTTATCTCTGTCTTTATCTGTATCCAAATCCGTTTGTCTATCTACATCCATATACATATCTATATCTATATGTCTATGTCTGTATCTGTATCTATACCTACATTATTTTTCCCGCGCACCTTGTTAGCCTTCTCTGGAACCGTGAATCTTGGTCCTTGTGCACAAATACTATCTATATTTATATCTATATCTACATCTATATCTCGACATATAGATATCTATATGTATATATATGTATATATAGTCTGTGTGTGTGTTTTGTATGCATACATACGAATACACAGACATATGTGGGTGTGCTTGCAGAGTACATGTGTTTGTGTGCACACAAGTGCGTACACATAAACATATGCATACAAAAACCTAAATGTATGTCCGTACATAGATATGTAAATAAGCATATATATATACACATGTACATATATATATATTATGTATACATATATACAAAAAACCAGTTCAAGGGTCAAGTCTACTCCTGCGTTTTGCATATTTTAGAAATGCATGTAAGGCGCGTGTATGGGTCACAAGGAAGACAATGAGAAAGATGCAACATGGAAATACACGACTCGTTTTCAGCGTCTCTAAAACTTCATTTCTTAACTAAATACAGATTTTACTCGGATAATGGCATTATAATGGAAATAACATCTTTAAAGTCAATGTAGCTAGGAGTCTATGCATGAATGTCATCCCTGACGGCAGTAACGTGACTAATAAGTAATCATTGTAAAATCATTACGTGTTCGGTTCACTTGTTCGAAAGACTGCTGCTACATGCACTATATTGTTGTCATCTTTAAGTTGGGTTTGATACTACTTAAGAAACGCTCCTCCTCAAGAGGTCCGAGGACTTAGTCAACTCGGTTACTTATCTATGTAGTTGTGAAAAGAATATGCACTACTTCTACACCTACTAAAATAATACGCTTCTTTGAGGTATACCATTATCCCTAGAGATACGACGGTGAACGTACATGTATACATATGCTACATATTTCTATCAATCGGCAGACGACAAACGTTTTATGTTGTCAAGATACGTAAGTCTGAAGTCTGACTATTTTAGCTCAGCAAATACTGCGCTTGAATTGCTCCGAGGAGTCAGTGTACCCAATTATCTAGTTACCAACATAATAACTAACGTCTCTATATATATGTCATTATCCGTGAGTGTAGGAATATGACTGCCCCTTATGGATCCTTATGGTGAATATAATCTTCTGTGTTTCGTGAGTGTTAACTGGCCAAGCACTCCATGAAAAACTTAACTGTAGCGACACATCTCCAGGCTAATTTGGCCCTTATTCAAAGATGTACGCTTCCAAAGTTCTATTGTACTGGTTTTTGTAATTCAAGTAAGCAGCTTAGTGGGCAAATCACAACAACGAATCTCAAGCCATATCTGTAGCAGTTAACAGACCCTGGAAGTTCAATTTTTTATTCAGCTGGTTTGGTATAAGAATGAATGTGTTTGTAGGGCTGGCCACATCAACTTCAATGCACAGTACGGCGAAAGGCTGCAACCTAATGTTCATACCAATTGAAACCACCTGTACTGGAACATAGGGCATTATGTAATACATGTTCAAGAAAGATATCTGACATATGAACATGCAGAGATAACACCAAAATAAGAAACATACATAGCACCGACAGCTTCTAAACAGCTTTGTAAACTTTGCTCCAGCAATTTTTGCCCAACTATGTTCTTTTTTTGCGGACCTTTTTCCGGCAGCCCGAAGTTCCACGCGTCCATGCCTACCTATCCCTAGCCCTAGCTCATGCGCATCACGCACGCAAGGGCAACCTGGAGGGTTGCTCCGCCTCGGCGAGCTCCAGGACCCACCCGAGCAGTGTTTGCTCGTCTCCGGCAGGCTGCGCCGGCGCTCGCCAGCAGCCGCCCAACAGCGTCGTGCTGCAACACGCATCCGAGCTGCCCCCACCACCGGCGCTCCCACCCCGCGCAGGCAGCAGCACGCAGCGCCCGCGGCGCGCTCACGGCCCAGTCCCAAGATGGCCCTGGCCAGCTGCTCTGCCTTGCCGTTGCCCTTGCCGTTGCCTTTGCCCCCTGCATGACCGTGGCCTTTGCCTGCCGCATCACCAGGTCCTCTGCGTCAACCTCCGCCTCGGCTGCCTCGCCTGCGCGGTGGCTGCGGCGTGTTGCGGCGATGGTCAACTCGTGGAGCTGCGGGGGGCCTGACCGCCGCCCTCTCTCTGCCTGGCAACTCACGGCCAGGGGCCGGCGAGTAGCTGTCCAGAGATCGGCTGCGGGTGCGGCTGCGCTCAGCTCGCACATCACGGCTAGCGGGGAGCAGCGCGGCCGGCACAGCGGGGTCTGCTGCCGCCGCCACCTCCGCCATGTGCACCACTGCCTGCAATGCCTGGCCACATGCCCGCCAGGTAGCTGAGGACCAAGCCCGTTGCTGGACACGGTTGTGCGCCAAGTGCAAGGCCTCGCAACCGGGGCATGTTTGCTGCCCCGCAGCGATAGGCAGACCGCAATCTTCGCAAGAGGCCATGGCTGAACAAGAGCGGCTGGCAGACAGGCAATGCAAGCAGTAAATGGCTGCAGGGCTGGCGAACCGATGCTATTAGTGCAGACCTCGATGCAGCACGCGACAAGTACCCCAAGCCGAGTCACTGAACTTGATCCAAGGCAGCCTGAACCCTCAACCTGACACCTAGAACCCCGTAGACATACAAAAGAGTATACAATTACAACATATACTGTTATATAATGTAGAACCGGATGGTGCACAAAGACATGTCACTGATGGGCGGCGTTGGCGTGGTGTCGCGAGCGGCGCGGGCGGGGGCGGACCGAGCGATTCGCATTGGTCGGCGCTTGGGTTGGCGCCACGGCGCTGGGCGCTGCCAGCAATAGGTCCCCGAGCAATGTTTCCAGCAACCCTGCCGGCGGCAGCCCCGCTGCCTCCGCTGCCGTAGCCAGCTCGTTTGCGCCTCCCAGCACCACGCAGCGCAAAAGCTCTGCGGCGGCCCCTGCGCGAGCATGCTGCGCAGGGTCCGCCGGCCCCGTTGCTACAGGGCGCAGGCGACGGCCACGCGCGGGTCGCAACCTGCTCGATCACCTTGCTGGTCAAAGCCCGCAGGAGCAGGCCGACGAGCAGCCAACCCTATGCCAGGCTGAGGGGAGCGAACCCTGGCAAGAAGTAAGCCGGCGCTCCACCCCCGCAAGTCAACAGAGCGTGCGCCACACTCTGGCGGCAACTCGGCGGGAGCGACGAGGCGAAAGTCATGGCCGATGAGGCCGCCGACCAGCCCTGCCAGCAAGCCCGGCCTGCCCAAAGCAACCATCCTTCCATGGCGTCGGCGCCACTGACTTCTTGAGCCAACTTGAGCCAAAATGGCTTGAGCCGAAATGACAACGCTTGAGCCAAATGTTTAAGGTGTCCTTCTATGTGTTGTCTAATTCCCCCAATGATTAACTTCTCGTGCAACATACAAAGTTGCGCGAAGTACAATTGCATTTTGAACTGAATCTGTTCTAGAGAATACAGGATAAAGCGACAGTCGTTATTTAATTTAATTGCAACTGTGAGTGAAAGTACCTCGATGCCATATGTTGGGATCCGTGTCATCTTCGAATACTACCGTTGAAGCCAAAAATGCACACGACATGGGGCGAGTTTGCCAGACCACATAATTTCCCGTGTAGCGTTCCTGCCTCAAAGCGGCGTCACAATTGATACGATAGCCGTCGCAAACCCTAAGAACCAAAACCTAAAAAAATAGAAATGAAAACCAAAAAAATATTTCAGAACTCTTCCATGTGTGTATATTTCTAGGAGTACTGAAATTATGTTTTTTGTTTTATTTTTGGTGTTTCGGTCTTGTCTTTTGTGTTTGTTTTTTTTATTTTTTGGTTTTGGTATTTTTGGTTTTGTTAAGGAAAAAGGTTGTTGTGTATTTTAAGTCTTTAATTACAGCAACGCCCCCAAGCATAAGAGTTGACAGCGATGTCGTCGAAGAGGCGTACCTGAACGGCCGAAAACGCAGGGGTAGAATTTGACCGTTTAACCAAGAAACCCTTTGGATACTCATTGCTTCTTCGTTTAGACTTCTGTACGTGGGCACGTACATACACACACGCATATATATATATATACATATACATATATATATATATAGAAAGATATGTATGTACGTGTACGTACATGTATATGCAAGATGTGTGTGTGTGTGTGTGTCTGTGTGTCGACTTCTGGTAAATAACGTAGCCCTGTCCTCATCTGTGCGGTCAACGGCACAATTTCTGGTGCTTTCCAGCTTCTGGGGATTTTCGCCGAAACTGTTGGATTTGCGATCTCTCTGGAGCTGATCTTGGTGTGCGGCTTAAAGGCCGCGGATCTGCAGGAACACCGCCTTTGTGCGGGCCTCAGGTGTAACGGGACATTCCGACCAAAACACTAGAAAAGATCCGAATATGAGAAGGCGGACTCGCGCGGGACAGCACCAACTCGGACAACTTCGAGTCCTGGACACAACAGCATGGCAGCGAATGCATGGCATTGTGAAGCGGAGGCCACAAACGAGCCGGCTTCGCAGGCGCATACAACCATTGGACGAATGTGTCGTACTCGACCTTGGCATGCTGCCAAGTGTTGAAACGCGCTTGCCGAGTTAGAGGGTCCAACATTTTCACACTTGTCCGTCACTTTGTCCAAGAATCGTGCCAACCTACAAGATGTCACAAGCTTTTGCTCCGGTTCTATTCCCATGCACACAACGAGAAACCTCCATAAGGCTGAAGCTGCTGACTTTCGGCCACATTCAATTCCCGTGCCAACGACAAGTGAATCAGCGCCTGTCCAACCATAGGCCGAGAGGGTTGTTCTTCAAGAACCCTGCAGGCTGCAGACCTCCAGGTATGTCCGGTTGATGACCCCAGTCCTCGTGAGCACGATGGGCCCAGATAACGGCCACCGAGATAATGACTAGGAGACAGCAGAGATCCCAGCCGTTGCGTATCAAACTCGCGAAATGCTGCACATAGTCTAGCCTGCTCATGTGCACCAATGAACACGCGCCATCGCCAATGAAGCCGAACTTGAGGCCCCGACCCCACGTGCACGAGCTAACCCGACGACCTGACACAAAACACTTACACCCATGGCAAACAGTCGGACATACCCTCTTGCGGTCCAGGCACCCCTTCAATGTTCATGCTCACGGATTTGCCTGTCAACATGACAACAACATCGCCGATGGAAATGCACTTGCTGCAGTTGGTGCCTGTTCATGTTTCGACTCCAAGCTGCCATGGCCGGCACGACCACTAAACTCAAGGAAGAAAACACACTACATGCAACTGTCAACCCATGTTCTTGCTACGTCACGGAAAGCTTGTGCGACATTCACGTCTTATGCAGGGCGATTCGGAACGCAACCGGAAACCACCATGCAAACTACAACCCTGATAGCCAAGCACAGTGCGATTCTGCCAGCTGTCATCGTTTGGGGTGGGCGACCAACTTCTTGACACCATCCACTTTCCCCGAAAAACAACAGCTTACAGTTGGAAAATTTCGCTCTCGAAACAATCGTTTGCTACGTCGTTTGAAACATGCCGGAGCTGAACAGCGTTTATTGTCCACTCAGTTCGGCTTGCGCTCGCAGAAGCGGTGTTCGGCTGCAACCCATGTTGCATGCAGACTTTTGGAAGATGCTGGGTCAAGTGAGTAAGGTTTTCTTATTTTCATAGCGTTGAATTGGCTGAAGGGTTTTGGTTTAGTGAAGCCGACAAGTCTTGCGATGGCCTTGGAGCGATTTGGTGTGCCACTTTCGTCTGCTGGCGTGTCCGCGTCGAGGTTCCCTGTGCAACTGCGAGCTAACGGTAATGTGCGGCGCCAACGCAGGCACGGTATGGGACAGAGTCCCAGCACACATCGGCAATGAGCTCGTGCAGGTCGGGCGCGGGTCCATTTCTGAGCTCAGCGGCGGGGAGGAACTCGAAGAGACAGGCCGAAGGCCGCGGCAGCCAGTGCGCGAAGGAACTGCACCGCCTCGCTGCCAAACCCGACCTCAATCCCGACGAGATGCAACCACATCGCAGTGACGGCCGTGGCCCAGCTTGGGGTATGTGTGGTGCCGCTTGCGGCGTGCCACATTGTTTACGGCACAGCCGGGCCAACATCGGCGGTCAGGTGTGCTTCGCTTTGACATGCGAATGGGGAAAGCAAAGCAACATCGACTGTGAGCTGCTAGGGCGTGTGTGGAGAAGACGCCAGGAGTGGTGCACGCAGCGCGGTGGTCGCTGTGTGGGTCCAGCCGTCTGCGCTGCTCAGCAGCTGCACTCGGAACTAGGCGCTAAGGATAGTGACATCATCATGCGTGGGGGCAGACGTTGAGGGCACCGCTGGCTAAAAGCCCGCTTGTGAGAGCAGCTGTGCACGAGACGCAGGTGAGAGTTCAGCAAGATGCGTTTCATAAGCGCGCTCATCACAGGCACGGGCGGCAAGCAGCTGCCGGCCTTTCAAGGGCCGCGGCCCGACCGCCTCGTCAAGCAGTCGGTTGGGGGAAGTGGAGGTGGGGAGCCGGCGTCGAAGCCGGCGTTGTGCAAGTGGGCCTGCGCGAGGACTGCAGCTGCCGTGGATGGCAGCGGCTCGTCGCCTGAAGGAGGCAGGCTGCGGCGGCGGGGATGACCGGAGGTGTGTGCAGAAGGTGCCATGCTGCCTGCAAGTCGTCCACGGCGAGGATGTGCCACAACAGTGTTGCTCCCCCCGCTTAACCCTAAGCGGGCGCCCCAGGGGGACCGAGCACCTTGAGCCGCAAACCACCAACATTTTTTTTCCCCGCGCACCTTAGTCGCTGCGACCCCGGCCGTAGCAGTTCAGGGTAGGCAACGCGCTTGCGTCTTTCTGCGACAGTGATGGCGGCGCGTGGCACCAGACGGCTGCGGCCTCCCCTCGCGTGCCAGAGGCGACACGAGCGTCATGTCGCAACACAACGCCTTGCCAAGCGGAGTGGCCCCGCACACGACAAGGTCGAGGCGGCGGCGATCGGTGGGGTCAACATCACGTGCTGACGTGCGCGCCACTTGTGGGACGACCTGGCCCTCGGGTC